CAGGTGATATGGAATATGAAGGCAATGCCTAAGGTGAAACACTTTTGGTGGAAAGCTTGCCATAATATCATAGCTTCTCGAGAGAATTTGTACAAGAGTAAGTGCGCTACATCGCTTGTGTGCAAAATCTATCTATTAACCCCAGAATCTATTGAACATATATTATTTGAATGTGAATGGACCAGCATAGTGTGGTTTGGAATGGAAATGGTTTTTACTGTTGAGCAGGCAGATTTTATTTCTATGGCCCAAAGAACTTCCCAAATTTTGGAAGCAATGAAGGAACCCCAAATGAGATATGAGGTATTGGGAAAGATGGCCACAGTGGGTTGGATTATATGGAAAATAAGGAACCAGAAAATTTTCAATGATGAAACTCCAAATGCCCTTATAACTATCATGAGAGCGAAAGGTATGTGGAATGAGCTCTTCAATATGGAAGATAGGTGTTGTCCAAGGAAACAACAGAAACCAATGGAGGAAGAGGAGAGAATGCAACAGTCAGGCCCCGAGACACTATTCTGCTGCGATGGAGATTTCAAACCTAAAAGTGACAAGGCTGCATGTGTTGTTCTACTCTATAATTCAAAGGGAGGACAAATGGATGTAATATCAAAATCTTTCTCAGCTACCTCTAGTCTGGTCGCGAAAGCAAAGGCGATTCGACAAGCCTGTCTTCTTGTTGAGGACAGTTTACTGAAGAATGCTACAATTGCAAGTGATTGTCTTAAAATCATCAAGTTAAGTGCTACTGAGGATGCTCCCCCATGAGAAATTAATATCCTTATGGAAGACATCATATGTTTGGCTAGATTAGCCTAGAGCCAATATAAAGGCTACTCATCGGGTGACAGCCGCTACTATGAACAACTCGCTTCCGTTAGGATGGGTTGGATCTCCGCCTCCAAGGTTTAAGTCTTTAATCTTGATTGATTGTAATTTAAATTTCCCTACTTAATGAAATATTATCTATTGTTTGTTTGGATTAAAAAAAACAACCCCCCCTCCAAAACCCCAAAAAATAAAAAATAAAAAATAAAAAGTAAAAAGGAAAGAAAAGGCAGAGAAGCATTCCATTCTTGTGTTATGACTCATAATTTCAGGGCCTTCTTTGAATGTTGCTTCCCCCACCCATCTACCTACTATCCTACCCTACGATAGAGGTGTATGGGGCTTAGCCAAACCCCCATCTTTAGCCATTGAAAAAGTTATTCACTAAAGGCTTGTACCGCCCAAATTTATTTATCAAAATGAGTCACTTCCAAACTTATTTTTAAATCCACTCACTTGTAAAAAGCTTTATTTAAAATGCCGTCTTTATAACTCAAAACGTTAATTAAAATGATGTCTTTAAATACATTATTTGGCATGACTCCTTTAATGTACTTCATATCAAATTTCTTTGAATTATATGTAGTGCTTTGAAGGCAACATTTGAAACAATGTCTTCTTAAAATGACTAGATTTAAAAAATAAGTTTGAAAGAGTCTGATTTTAAGAAATAAGTTTTTGAGGTACATGAGTTTGATGAATTCCTCCCCATTCCCCCATTGAAAGCTTCTAATTAGTAGGAGTGTTTACCCAAGGATGGGGGAATCAGTTCTTCCGGAACCAATAACCTATATTCACAAGTAAATATTTAATATAATGGCGATACCATCGTATTCTTGACCCATGTAGTTTTAAATAAAACGTGCAAGTAAGAAAGCTTAATAATGGGCAACACCATCACATGTGACTTGGGGAAGACCTTTGGACCCAAACCAGCATTTTACAAGACCAAAAAACACAAGGCTAAGAAAAGCCTGAACTCAGCTTTGGTTGGCCCAACATATTCACTTGGCCGACAACTCGATCTCAGGTCCTAAACCACAACTTAAAAAACTCCTCAAGAACATAAAAATATTGAGTGTAATCATTACACTACGTCAACAATATCATATGGTATAACCGTATCATATGGTATAACCGTCCGCTAATTAATAAATAAATTTGCAAGTAAGTCCTATAAATATTCATAATTCATAAACACTCAACCATATAATACATAATCACTTCATGATAAGAAATAGATTCCATTTTGTAATATTTTTATCGAATAATTACACTACATCAACATTGTTGTGACATTGTATAATCGTTACATCCAACATTGAGAATTACTTCAATAACAACCCATAAAGGGACAATTAAATGGTAGAATAGGAGGTCAATTTCTTGGTGATCCATCTATCCGACTAAAAATCGAAAGCAAGTTAACGAGGTATTGATCTAGTCTAAAGTAAATGTATACACATTATAAGCGAATTGCGATCATACATGAACTATTCACATATAATTATCCACAACTTTTGACAAAGCACAAACCCAACATAATACGATTTGTTGCCAACCCTATAAATAATTGAACTAAACTGCTGTAGACCTGTAGCTGCACCAATGAAAGATGAGGACCACCTGAGTAATCAAGCTACGCCATTGATTGTAGTAATTACCATCCATCAAGGAGCAAACAATAATCTCAGCAACTAAAGCATTGAAGGAGTCTCTCACAAAAGCATCAACAAAGCTTCAAACCCAAACTGTCTAGGACCTGAAGTGGCTAACTACAGAAATCCCAATGCAGAAACCCAGACATGAATATAAGGCCGAAAGGAATTTTCAACCCCTCTACTTTTTTTTTTTTACCTCTCTTCTTTTGGGTTTCTATAAAAGAATTAACAATCATGCGTTCCAATTAACAAACATATGTATGCACCTCTAAGATAGAAAACAATAAATTTCACAACTGCGGTGTTCATCAAGTCATACAAATTTTGTAGGTTCAGCAAACTCTGAGCCACCAAGAATTGCAATTTCAAGAGTTCAACCAGTAAGACACAAGACATCAAATAAGACTCTTATATTTTAGACTTTGAAACCAAACGAGTTAACGTAGAATAATAGGCCTTGCTAGCTGCCTTTGAAAACCCAAAAGAAGTTTCTGCAAGTAGCCCCCACTAAGAAAGATTTTTCTCAAATCAGGATAATATCAGACAAGAATAAGAACTTGGTATGAAAATCATATGGTATGCCTACCTACCATGAAGAAAGACAATAATAAATTCATATTCCACCCTCCACAGTAAGCAAGAATCACTTAAGATTAATCTGAATCAAAATATAGGTGCTTCAGCTTGGCCATCAGCAAAGAGAGTTCCCAAACACCCTTGGAATCAGAGGGAACATGAGGCTATCCAGGTAGACTTGCCAAAATGAACATAAAATTATATATCTTCAGAAGGAAACCATGAAAATCCTAACTGTGTCACAATAACCAAAGTAGACTGTAGACTAAAGAATTTTCAAATGGAATAGCCACAAGTAAACATCAAGAAGTTGAATGCAAGAAATGTTGTCACGGTTCTTCAAAGGGCAACTAACAGGTTCAATTATTCATATAACCACCAAACAAAGGAGTCAATGTTTGGTATTCTTGAAAAATTAACATATCTTTTTTAAAATCTGACGATGTTTTGGCATGTCCACCCTTCCTATATTATAAGAAGGAAAAGTGAAAAGAGAATGGAAGAAAAGAAAGACATCAAAGAGTCACATATGCCTTTCAAAGTTCAAACTGCATGCAAAGAAGACAGTCTCATGCAGGCCTTTGCACTTATTGACATACAACTGAAAGCATGTCGCAGGCTTCCTTCACAATGCAAACAGTGTTGAGATACTTCATAGCACAGATTAGCCGAGCAGAGCATTAGTGCAGTAATGATGAGCATAGGCACCAGTGCCTAATAATGAAGGTACTAAAAGAGCATGAACACAGTAGAACAAAATATCAGGGCATAATTGTGGGGACGTATCTAGATTTTTAAGTCAGCCAAGCAACCCACACCCACCATCAACCAAGAGAATAGAAGTTTATAATTCATCCCAATCAATCACTGATAATAAGGCTTTCCGCAGATATAACTTCAGAGATGTAAGACTACATAAGACCTTCAAAGCTATACACTACATTAAGCGAAATTCCATAATGAACCAAAAGTTCACGACAGGTTATATACATACTTGGGTTACCGAAGACTTGCATATTAGTGTTCTCACACAGGCAACATATTCCACCTTCTTTAGTACATAAATCGGCAGACTTGACAACTAAGCAGATTTTTGCATTTTGAGAAAGAATAAAAACTTTTATGTACAAATATATGTTGGATCAAAGAGCTTACCATTGCACCAAAACCCACAAGTATTAGTAAAAGCACAACATTTTTCTTTTAACTAGCTCAACAACAAGCGCCCACAGGTCGGGTTGGTTAAACCCTCCACCAAGGGTCTAAAGAAGAATTGCCACACCTCTACCCTAGCTAACAATCTCCTCCCCAACAACTACCCCGAGACTCGAACCCGTGACCTTGCTCTAATGCCAATATTTAGATCAAAACACTTACATTTGTTAGATTGAAACGCTTATAATTGTACCAAAACCCACAGATATTAGCCACAAGTTGGGTTGGTTAAACCCTCCACTGAGGGTCAGGAAGACTTGTTGTACCTCTACTCAGGGTAACAATAGTCCACACTCACATGAAAGAGTTGCGCCTTTAATTCAACCATGCCGGATTGTCAATGTTTAAAGAACAGTTCACTGAGCCACAACCAAGTAAGCATTAATTACAATGGTTCTGCTGCTGCTGCATTGCCAGCAACTCCATTGATGGTAAGCAAGTACTCTCACTGCTTGACCATTTAAATTTCCACATTCTTTTAGTCAGTGGCGGCTTAAATTTCTCTTAATTATCCTCCCATTAAAACTGACCTCAATCAGCTGGAATTTTTATCAAAACCATGTGCAAAGAAAATTTTGTATTTTCTTTGTTCTCCATTTTTCACTTTTTCTATTGCTCTTGAAATATCAACAAAACGAATAACCAAGGAAACTATTTGGAGAAATTCAATCTAACACCCTTAAGGACCAAGTAAAACATTCACACATTAACCATTTAATTCACATCTAAAACCCTAAGAAATCAAAAGCATCGACATAAAAAGGCAACTTTTATTTCTTAGCATAATTCATACAAACGGCAATAATCATCCAATAAGCTCTTACTTGTTTCATCATACCACCATTCAAACACAGAAAATCACAATAGAATATATACAAATCCACCCATATAAAAAGTACAAGCCCTTAACATTTTTAACCTTAACTCATGGTAAAACATCAAACCCTAGAACTCAATGGCATAAATAGTCAACACGATACTCACTGTAATCATCCCTCACGGACAAATCACTCTCGACTTTGTCGGCAATTCTCTCCTCCTCGTACTTCAATCCTCCCTCCAATGCTAATCCTCCTAAAGCCCCCGCCACCGCTCCCACCGCCAATCCAGTGCCCAGTCCCATCTTGCCACTCTTCGCCTTCTGATCGTACGGCGATGCATAATCCACTGGCGCACTAGGCCCGGCACCACCGTAGCTCGTCTGTCGATCAATAAACGGTGGTGGTGGTGGTGGAGGTGGCCGAGAATAATAAGCCGAGTAGTAACCAGTGTACGGATCAGAATACGACCCGTATGTGTACGAAAGAGGCTGTGGCGGTGGCGGTGGCGACAAAGACGGAGATGGAGTCACCGTCGCAGCCGGTGGAATTGTCGGTGGAAGTGAAGCATACGGAGAAGGTGTGTATCCTCTGTAGTCGCGTGTAGAAGGTGGAGCAGGAGGGGCAGTGTGGTAATAAAAACTAGGTTGAGGAGGGGCAGAATGGTAATCCGGCAAGAATCGTTCCCGGACGGCGAGTTTCAGGCGGATCTTTCCTTGCGGACGACCCGATGGGCGACGGACCTCGAAGGTTCTGAGTTTGGTGAAATCGTCCGAGTCGCCCAGGTCCTTGAGTGGGAATCGAAGAGTACCCACAAGGGGTTTGGGTGTCTCGGAGGGTTTGGAATGGAAGATCTCAAGGGTGAGGAAGGAGTCCTGAGGAGAGAGAGTGAGAGGAAGTACGAACCGCTCGTTCCAGACCGGTCGAGTAGAGCCAGAGTCGTCAGACTTGGTGGCTAGCCGGCGGTCCGGGTCGACCCAGAAGATGACATAGGGCTTGAGATCGCCGTGACGCCAGTTAACGTTCTTGAGATGTTTAGCGGAGACGATACTTATGTCGACGTCGTAGGGTTTCAACTGCGGTCGTGAGGTTGTCGCCATGGTAGCGGTCGTTTATAACGTGCGCCGGGGGAGAAGGGGTTGCGGATGATGATAGAGTCGACAAGGGGGGAAGGGAAGGTTTTATGCGTAGAAGTGGATAGGTACTTTACCTTTTATACAAAACCACCCTACTAAAAGGGTGAATTATACTTTGAGTCACCTTACTTGACTAATAGACCCTCGCTTGTTTGGTAAAATGATCCTATGGCCCCGATCAATTGTGTTTTGAAAAATGGAAGTAGTGATAGCGATAAAAGAGATCAAATTATACCTCGTTTTTTAAATATATACAAATAAAGAGCTAAACCACTTACTGGACTTGGCCAGAAATATTGCTAAAAATCCCCCTTTTCCAAGATTGTTGTCAAATATTTTTCATATTTATACTTTGTCGTATGTGTCATTATATCATATAGAAGCACATATGTTGTCTCTTTCCTTGTGTTCTCCTTATTGGCAATAGAATTCCACCTTCACCATCCACCGACCTTTAATTGCACCACTATCATTACACACAAATACACTTATACACACATTCACGTATTTCTTGTCACCACCTCTCCCGTCCATTAGGTATCATCGTGGCACCATTATCACAAACGTAACAAACCCACGTTAATTTTCATCACAAATATTATCTATGTGAGTCACGAATCACATTGCAATAATCACATATATGTACTCATGCACAAACCCAAGCACACACAGATGCATAGCTACCACATATAATAGTTAATATAAAATAAATCAACCAATAATAATACATTGGTCATCAATGGAGTACATAAATTTCACTTGATGATTGATTGGGTGGAATCATTAGTATAGTTTTAATAGGGTTTCGATTCTTGTTCACCTAAATTAGTTGGTCAACGTGGTAAAGGAGAGTATTGATTTCCTTTTAAGGATTAGGTTTAGATAAATTGAGTGGCGAAATAAATTAATCTTTACTTGACAAAATGGAGCTTGACTCATGAATAAATGGAGGTCAGTGAATTAGGTATTGTGAATCTTTGAGTGATGTTTGGGGTGGCTTAGGAGGATCCCGTGGTGGGCCATAATGGTAGTGAAGGACCTAGGTACAATATGTTCGAGTGGATTTTTGGGGGCTCTGCTTTGATGAAGGCTTTGGTAGAAATAATGTTGGACAATAATGGTGATGGAGGACTTGAATGTGGCGATGCCAAGAGGCTATTTGGGTTTGATAGTGGATGTTTTGGGATAGTTCATGGTGGCCCTAGGATGTTGCGATGTAATTGGCTTTCAGTGCTACAATTTGGTATCTTTGGTAGATTGGTATGAATGGATTTAGGATTGGATCACGATAATGTACTAAATTTGTTTTGGGGAGAATACACTATTTCTATTTCCAAAATAAACTTCAGAATCCAAGTACCAAACCTTATGGATCTCAATGTGATTTTTAAAACAAGAAGGATTAATGTGAATAGCTGATAAATCATAGGGGTGTAGATATAATTAACCCCTATAGAAAAACTGTTCGTAGGAAAAAGGTGGGTCCAGTGTTGGAGAAGCTTTGGGACAAGACGATAATCGTGACTTTCCTTTTGAGGATTAAAGAAAGATTTAACTCCTTACCCACTCCACCTGTTTCTGAATGGCCTCTCCCTCTTCCCTGATCTGAATAGAAGAAGAGCCCATGTTACTCCACAAGTGAATGTAATAATATTGACATTTATTCCGAAGAGTAATTCAAGTAGTTGAATTTTAATAATTTTTAAGAGTTAAGTCATAAAAAATTATAAATATTCTAATTTCGACATAAATAACTTATCTTTAACCGGATTAAATAACAGCAACGTGTGGGTTGTCTAATAAGCTCATAGCCCAATGGGTTATGGGTCCAGTTAATCTATCATGAGACAGCCTCTTAGTCATCGAGCAGATCATGATCACAATATCTTGGCCCAACTTGGGCCGGCAGACTGGTCTATTTAAGGGGAAATGCAGGTGGCCCATTGGGCAAGTTCAGGACCCAAACTATTATTGTCCAATAAGATTTTTAAAAACTAATAATTGCTTAAATTTGAAAATTAGAAAAAATATATATTTAGACCCATTAAGACTGATTCGATGAATAACTCTTACGGATTCATTAGAATTGTTCATAAAAAAAAAACCCAACAGGCATGCATAGGCCATAATATTTTGGGTAAATTATAATTTATAATATTCAAGTTTCAATTATAACAATTAAGTTCATATATCAAAATTCAATAATTTATTATGATAGAATGATTTTTTTGTAATCAACATACAACTTGAGTAAAAAAGTATATTTGTATGATTTTTTGGTCCGTAATGAAACAAAGATACAGCAACCAACACAAAAACTGCAAGAAGCAACCAAAAAACAAAACAAAAGAATCAACCAATACCTTATCTTGCTTCCTTTTGTACAAGTCTTCGTAACTGCTCCAGAGGATTAACCACCCATTGTGGGGACAAGTTGCACTTTCTAGCCTGAGCGGTAACCAGGTGAGCTAATTGATTAGCTTGTCGGTGCACAAAATGAAATATGCTCGAAGGAATTTTACTGGCATAAAACTAAATATCTCTTTGAAAAGGCTCAATCTCTCGTATAAAAGAAGTTGGGCCTCGTTGGAGAGCTTCAATCTGCACCTTAGAGTAAGATTCAAAAATAACTTCTTCAAAATTCTCAACAACTGCCATGGGCAGGTACACCGAACAGCCCAAGCTTCTGCAGATAAAGCTGAGGAGGCATGCATTGTTCCAGCGGCTCCAGTGAGCAAAGTTCCCATCTCGTCACGCACCATAACTCCAAACGCAGCTTGTCTACTGTTTTCCAAAAAAGCCCCATCACAATTAAACTTGAGCCAACTTGGTGGAGGCAGATTCCATACCCGCTGAGCACTTTGTCCAAGCTCAAATGACTTCTGCATACCCCTGCTCGGAAAACTGCAGTTGCAGCAACAATTGCTCTCTCTACAACACCAGTAGAATTCAAAATATGATGGTTAAAAACCCACTCATTCCTGGCTTTCCAAATAAACCATAGCAAGAACGCAAGCAGTGTCTGTCGATTTGGATCCTCCACTCTCCAATTTCCATTTATATCAAACTGCTCCATTAACCAAGTCTCCATTCTCGAGACTTTGTGTCTATCCACCCTCAGGTTTAAGGGAGACTTTAACCATACTTCTTCCACCCACGGACACAACAAAAACAAATGTTCAACAGTCTCCTCCTCTTCCCCACATATAGGACAAACTGGACTGTGAGACACTATTCTTTTCCATAAACTTTCCTTTGTAGGCAAAGCCCCCACTGCCACTTTCCAAAGAAAAGATTTAATTTTTTGCGTAGCAGTAACACCCCATATCAGCTTCCATAAGCCTCCTAGAGGGATAAAAGAAGAAGAGGCCTTTGATGTAGGACTACATCTTCTCTGTTGATGCACTTGAAAATGATACCCACTTTTTACAGAATACATCCCATCCCTAGTATGAGCCCATCTTATCCTATCTTCTTGCTCTGTTTCACACAGTGGAATGGAAAGAATCAGTGGTAATAAAATGGGGGGGAAACGTCTGTTGAATAACCTTTTGATTCCACCTTTTCGTAGGAACATGGATTAACTCTTGGACCCTCAAAAGATTTGTGTTGTTACTATTTACAATATTTCGATATCCTGGAACCCACGGATCCTCCCAAATATTTATAAGCTTTTCATCCCCTACTTGCCAAAACATCCCTGCCTTCAAGGAGGCTCCACCAAATCCAAGAACAATTGGACTTGGATTTTGCCTGCCATAATGAACAATGTGGAAAGTATTTTACTTTGACCACTCTTCCCCAAAGAGAGTCTGGATCTTGAGCAAGCCGCCACGCTTGTTTGGCCAGAAGTGCTCTATTAAATTTTCTCCAAATCTCTAAAGCCCATGCCCCTTTCATGCTTTTTTTGTGTCATAAACTCCCAACTTTTCCAAAAGAGACCCTTCTCACCTGAACTCTTACTCCACCAAAATCTAGAAATACAGGCTGTAAACTCTTGACACAGAGACTTAGGCAGCTTAAAAATGATCATTGCGTACGACGGGATAGCTTGGACCACAACCTTGATTAAAATCTCCTTTCCCGCGTGATTAAGAAACCTTTCCTTCCACCCTGCAATCTTCCCAATAATCCTTCCCTTTAACCAAGCCAAAGTTTGTCTTTTGGATCTCCCCCATTCTGTTGGAAGTCCCAAGTATTTCCCTGTTTGTTGGAGAAGAGGAACTCGCATAATAGCTGCAAGACGATGTTGCACTGCATGGGGAGTGTTTTTGCTAAAGAGGACACCAGACTTGTTCAGATTAATAAGCTGCCCCCTATAGCATAACAATACCTACCCAAAACATCCATAAGTACCTGACACTTTGCCGTGTAGCATAAGTATATTTGTATGATAAAAAAATATATTACGTGTAAGCTAGAAAATCTTATTTTATATTATCTGATTTTGAGAAAAAAAGAATTTGAGAGAGACTTAAAAGACAAAGAGAGACATACTGATATATTTTTTTGTTGGACATCTTTCTGTGGGAACAAATTAATAGATATAGATTTTTTTTTTTGAACACAATAGATATAGATGAAAAGACCGAAATAAAACTTGATTAAATTTTAAGATTGTAATTGTATCAACTGAAATTTCAAAGACCAAAATAAAAATTACGTGCATAGTTTTAAAAGTATAAATTATAAATCCACAATTTAACAGTGAGTTACGGTTGTCATTAGATCAATCACTAATCCTCAATAAATATTATTGCTGTTTTATTTATTTATTTATTTGTATTTATGATTATTAGGTGATTTTAGTTATCCAAAATTTACTTTGTAAGGTGTAGTTATAATGTGATCCTTCGTTTAAAAATTTGAATAAAGTTATACAGTAAGAATTAAAAAGACCTACCAGTGTAACTATATAAGAATAATTTAAGATACAAAAATCGATGAGCAATGTTACTTAGAACTAATTTATTAACTACTATTGGATTGATATTCAACCCTAATATATGTCGGGATCTACAATTAATTCAACGATTTTGATAAATTAAAACAACAAATAATATTATTAATTTTTGATAAATAATACTAAAATCATGGGTGAATTCTACTTGGGCTTACATAGAAGAGGAGTAAGAAGTTATTTCCTTACATGATAGATTAATTATTAATTTTTGTGGGATCTATTTGTTTTAATATTATTAGTTGATGATACCACATCTTCTTGTCATGTGGTATCATCGTTGTAATGAATATTTTCTCGTGTAATACATAATCTCTTGTCGTTGACATCTGTTAATATAACCGTTACAAAAATAATTTTATCATAATAAAAAATTATAATTTTCATACTATCTTTTATTTTGTGAGCTCGTTATATTCTAAAATTTAAAATCAAACTTACAATTTAAATATCCAATATGATGCAGATATTTATATAATATTTTTTATATTCAATGGAATACATCAATTGAACAAAATTATTTGAATGCGCAATCAAGAAAACATTTTTAGTTATATTTGAATTCTCAACGGATGTAGATGTAATATGTTAAACGTGAAGGATCTAATTGATTAAATGACAAACATGAAGAAATTTAAGTATGATTTATTCATTTAATTTTAAACGTCATAACGATTGTTAACTTTAGGTGCATGTTGATATAAATTTATGTTTTTAAGAGAACAAATTAAGATTTTTAATTTTTAAAAATATAAATTAAAATTTGAAAGATTTTTCTGCGTTAAATTTGCAATAAACCCTTTTAAAATTTGAACAACTTAGGCCCTGTTTGGTAACGTTTTCGTTTTTCATTTTTCAAAAACAAAAAAGGAAAATCAAAAATGTCTTTTTTTGGTTTTTTAAAGTCGGCCCTCATTACAAAACGATGGCAAAAACGAAAAATAAAATTGATTACCAAACGAATTTTTTTTTTTGTTTTCTTTAAATATTAAAATAAAAACAAAAAAAAAACGAAAAACAAAAACGTTAAAAATTTGCAATAAACCTTTTAAAAAACTATAACCTTTTAAAAAACTATAACTTTCAACGATTATATTCTTTACAAATTATAACCCAGGCATCAAAAGTTATAATTTTCGACTGTACCCTAACTTATCCCGTTATTTGGTGTCTTCAAAAGGCCAAAAACGTCAATCAACATCTGAAAAAAAGAGCCAGCCTCGAACCAACGTCATTTGTTTTCTTGAACGCAACACCAAAAGTACCAAAACCAAACAGAAGTAAATGGGGAGACTCTGATTGATAGCGATCGGCGAAACGCCATCCCCGTGTTTCTATAAGTACTTCGCTGCTACAGCCAAAGTCAGAGATGGTTTCCTCTCTCTTTCCTCTCTTTTTCTAGGCTTCGATCTCATTTTCTCTCTCATTGGAACATTTTCCGCAGAAAGGTGAAGCCTCTTTACTTACCGAGAAAAAAAAAAAAAGGTGAAGCCTCATTCTCGGAAAATATGTCAGACGCTTTGATCAACGGACTCGCCGGAGCCGGTGGTGGAATCATCGCTCAGCTCATCACTTATCCTCTTCAAACTGTACCTTTTTTTTTTCTCCATTACCTTTTTTTAAGATTTATTTGTCAAAATAGTTGTTTATTTTACTCGGAATTTTGGTTAGGTAATTGTATTATTGGCTGATCTTAGGTAAATACCCGTCAACAAACGAATAGAGATCCGAAGAAGGAGAAGAGGAAGCTTGGGACTGTAGAACAGATGTGCCAGGTCTTTGTTTTCTTTATTATTTTTTTTATAATGTTTGTGAAGAATTGATGGAAAAAATGATGATGATCTGCAGGTTGTAAGTCAAGAGGGATGGGATCGGCTCTACGGTGGCTTAGCACCGTCACTGGTCGGTACGGCTGCGTCTCAGGTGAGCTAATTTTAGATCAATTTCTTCTTGTTGTTTCTAACGTGCGCCGTATGCAATGCTTGCCTCTTTGACCATCTTGTGTCTGTTCTAGTTAGCTAAATCACCATCAGAAATTTCCAACTCATTCCTTGTTTATGTGTATGTATAAATATTTTAGTTGAATAGTATTGCTTTGTTTGTTTGCACGGAGGAGAAACTTGGGAAGGCAAAACGAGTTGAAATGTTCCTATCTAATATAATCGAGCTGAGCCTCAAAACTTGTTGAAGCGAGCCGTGCCCAAACTAGTTCAAAATGAGCCAAGTAACTTGTTTAATAATTTCTATTTTATATATAAATGAATCGAGTCTTAAGAACATAAAAAATTATTTAAGAGTCGAGCCTTATACGAATCCAAGTTTAGGCTGAGTAATTTGACTTGATTATCAGCCTTACTAGTAACAGGTCGACATTGAGGAAGAGGAAATTATTGTTATTTTTAGTATTTTAGTTTTTATGTTTCACCAAAACTTGTATTAAAATTTGCAAGCATCCAATGATGCTTTTAATTTTGCCTTCTTGTCATATGTCCTCAGTTGCAAAAGTTGGTGAACCTGTACTGGGTCTGGGGTCATAGTCATGTGGTCCCGTGATTATGGAAAATGTGCCATTATCTGCACCTCGTTATTGAGGGTTGTTGTCTTTTCAATAATTCCCGTAAATAATATTATAATACTTGGCACCGTGAGACTTGTCCTCAGTAAGGTTCATTGCTTGAGCTGAAGTTTGTAGTTTTTCACAAAGTACCAAAGTTTTTCCTAGCTTAAGTTTAAAGTTGCAATTAAAGTACTTTTTTTTTTTTTTTTGGTCAGGATATTTAAAATTTTATAAATAAAAAACATAGACCCTTTTACAATTTGATTCATTCATCCTATTCCTCTTCTACCTTCCAGCCTAAAAGTAACTTCAAAGGGGAGTGGTATCAGGGGTGGCAACCCCATGAGTGCTTGTGACTATCAAAATGTCACTCCAAATTCAAACTTTTTCACTCCAGTGGGAGTGACATTAAGGGTTGAAAAATGACAACAATGCTCTTGGGGTGACAATTTTTCAAAGTCTGGAGAGAGAAAGGGAGAGGTTGCATAAAAAATTTATGTGTTTGTTTAGCAAGGTTACAACAGAAAGGGAGGAAGGTTGCAACCAAAGTTAAGTTTAATTATATTTTTTAATAAAAAATATTAAAATATTAAAATGACACCCCATTTTGATATTTATCATTGGAGTAGATTTATAATGCAGGGATGTCAAAATACTATTTAAAGTTGCAAATGAGTGATTTGACATCCTAAAATAGTAACTCTTTTTGGAGTTGCTCTAACAATATGCATAACAAATTGAGGGACGCACTCCTTCCCTTGTACATTAAGTTTCTCACTTCTAGTATAGATTGCAAGTAGGGATGACAGTGGACTGTAGAAAATCGGGTATTCTTTCAAATCCGTCTCATTTGAATCGGGGATGGACTATAAATATTGGACGGAGGATGTATACGGGGATATTCGTATAAACCCGTGCGGGGATGAAGGCAGGGATGGACTTACCCTTACCCCCGCCTTATCCTGTCCTCATTATATATATATATATATAATAAAACAGAAGTGTTTTTGAATTTTATCCCAGTCATATTTTTTTCTTCAAAATCATCATCAATCACTTACCTCACCCTTCATCCCTTTGTCAAACTCAAACGTCAAATCACATCACTCATTTCAATCACATATTTAATTATTTATATATTTTTTTCCTAAAAATATTACACCATTCATATATATCATATGTTTAATCATTTGATATTTAATTAATTTGTAGTTAATATATTTTAAAAATTTAATATAGTGGGATCGATTTTTTGAACATTTGAATTTTATATTTTATCGTGCTTGGCACGGGTGGTTATGACTAGTATATATATATCCATTGCTCTTCCACTATGAATTCTGACTGTTCCTCAATGAGTCACAAGTCAGTCACCGACTGCTATTCTTCTTCTATCTAAGGCTTAACGCCGACTGCTACTCCTCTGTTGTGTCGGTGCCCAACTGACTCAGTCATCTCTCTCTCTCTCTCTGAAAGGCTTAACACCGACTGTTTCTCTTCCTCTATAAAAGACTCATCAGTATGTTTTTTATATGATTGGTGTTTTGTTCTCGCCAGAACTATTTAAAATTGGTCTCTTGAAAGGGTTTTCAGTTACTGTAATGATATAACATTTTCTGTTTTGATCTGTGCCGGTATTTAAAGTTCAGAACCTTGATTTATGTGAAATGTTATCCATGGTGACATATTTATCGGTTGAAATTTTATTCTGGCATAATATCTGCGGCTTCTTAAGAAAATTTTATGTTTATTTTACGAAATTACTGTAATATTCACAACTAAATTTGGGAATGGTCCTCCCGTTTCCTCCCTCCCTCTCCCCATCTTTCTGTGCCCCAATTTTGGGTGATTAATTTGGCACAAGGTATGATTTGCTATACTTTCAATTCATTTTTGGAAAATTTGGCTTGTGGTGTCATACATAAGTAATTAGAAAATTATGTCAAAGTTTAGTAGTCAGAGATAAATAGGTTTATGTTGTGAATCTATTCTCCCGTTCTTGTGATGGAAGCTGCAACTATGCGTTGTGAAAACAAATGGAAAGTTGTTATGCTATCATTATAAATTGCTCTTGCAGTTTCAGTTGCAATCACATTAATACTTTTTCTAAATTAACTAATAATTGATAATCCCAGTTTGGACACGGTTTAGTTTCACAGTTACTCGATTAAAAAAGACCAAGCACCATCCCAAAGTTTCAGCTTTTGTGTCTAAATTAATTCTTCTGTAAGAGAATGCTCAAGCTCATAATAAGACACTTGGTTTATTAAGTTTGACTTTGTCTCACCACAATTGCGATCTTCTTTGTCCTCTTCAAAGACCTGCATGAATTACCAATTTCATGTTCTATTGCATAAAGTCATTTAAATTTCTTTTAACTATATACAAATTGCTGGCTTAGGCTCGGGCTTAGGCTCGGGCTTAGGCTTGGGCTTGGGCTTGGGCTTGGGCTTGGGCGGGTAAGGGGGAAGCGGGGACGGGGACGGGGGCGGGAATTAGAAATTTACCCGCGGACGGATATGAGGACAAAAACTATACTCGTTAACGGGGGTAGACAGGGGATAGACGGAGTTTTTTTAAGCTGGTACGGGGATGAAGACTATATCCCTTGCCTCCGCTTCGGTCCACTGACAACCCTAACTGCAAGCATATGGGCAGCTTTGTTCTAGGTCATTCGTGTTGCCTAAAACTTCACCCTTGAGAGAAATTGAGCATAGCTCTATATGTCCTTTTGTAATGCTGCAATCCCCTTCAATGTATCTCCATTGTTCCCATTGAGAGAATCTATGAGCTGCTTTGAGTCAGATTCAGCAATGACTGCAGCATAGCTCTGTTCCATAGCAGCCTTGCACAATCGTCTGACTGCATAAGCCTCTGTCATTAAGGCAGAAGCTGCAACCACAATTTTAGCCTCTGCCATGAGCACTCTACCTTCAAAATCTCGAACTATGATGGCATAAGCTCACTCTTTTGCCCTTTCCATCCAAGCTCTATCGCAATTAATCTTCAACACCCCCTGAGGTTGCCAGGCCATTTCAAGTTCACCAGAGAAGTTCCCACCCTTTATAGGTACAACCTTGCAATTTTTCAAATTTTCTACTTCTGTTACAGCATTTGTGATAATAGATTTACTGCATGGCTGTTTATGATTGAAAACCCAATCATTCCTGGACTTCCATGTGAACCAACATAAGTATATTACTAGAGTTTGGCCCTCCTGTTCTCCTTCACCACACCACTTGCTGGTTTGTAGCTGCCTAATATACCAATTTTCAATTCTACTTATGCCATACCTCTCTACCTTAATGCTTAAAGGGCAATTCCTCCACATCCTTTGCACCCATGGACAAAGTAATAGCAAGTGTTCGGTGGTCACTTCTTCCTCTCCACATATGGGGCAAGTTGGTGAATTTGACAGCTTTCTCCTCCATAGCTCCCATTTAGTTGCCAATGCTCCATTTGCAACTTTCCACATAAATGCTTGTATTTTGGGGTGAACCTTACTTTTCCAAATACTCCTCCATATCCCTTCCGGAGCTTGATAAGATGAGGAGGCAGTGTCTGAGATTGCATATGAAAGCTCTTTGTGCTTGGACTGGTAATAGTCTGAGATCTCCATTTAATATCTGTTGGACTGGTGATAGTCTGAGATCAACCTCCAGCACAAAATAACCGATTGCGACTTTGCTAATAGTTTTCCATTACTGGCCAGTTCAATGTATGAATATGTTCGAACAATTTTTAACCTGTTTGAAATATTTTGTGATCATTCGAAGTAACTAGCTAAGCCATATTGATACCGCTACAATAGGGTAACTATGTCTCAAAACACGGCTCTAAGAACAGGTCGTATTTGTGTTTGCTGCTTGGTGGTTACTTAACATGTGTCTTGGACTCTAGGCCCCTTTTCTTTTTTGAACTTTGGGCTGTATTTTATTAACTAAATTAACTTTCAAATGACACTCATGAGCTAATTGCTCAGATCTGTAGATTTACTGTCTGGTGTCTATGGCCATGCTATTTCGGGAAATTAATGTATTGCCAGACGAATTAGTGATGTGAGCTGTTATAATTTCTAGTTGGAAAATTCAAAATTCAACAGCGCCAACATATTCTAGACTATTATGTTATAATGGTCTTTTCACTGTTATTTTTGCTGCAAAACTAAACTTTATCTGAACTGGCGTATGCATGATATTTTCAGCTAGAAGAAGTTTTCAATCAAATAAAAGCACATCACTACGTTTTTTCTAATTTTTTGATTTCTTATGCAATCACAGTTTTTATGGTACAGGGTGTTTACTATTATTTCTATCAAATCTTTAGGGACAAGGCTGAAGCTATAGCAATTGAACGTAAGAGGAAAGGGATTGGTGATGGATCGGTCGGGATGTTCTCATCACTTGTGGTGGCTGCTTTATCTGGGTAATTTGATTTCTCTTTAGAGTTATTTCATTTCATTGTCCATGACCATGAGTGAGAGTGAGCCCAATACAACACTGCAAATTACCTTCATGGGCTTGGTTTTCAGTTGTGCTTCTCATATTTGTATACACGCAATGCTCAACTCAGTATTCCTTGGTTGTACAGTCAATAATCAATAGGTCCTTCAGAAGTATTTATTCCCTAAATCAAATGTTATTTTTGTATTTAAAAAATTGGTCAGTGCCATCTTCTCTGTGCATTATTCTGCTTTTTCACAATCACAAAGTGGGGTTCTACCTTTCTAGATGCCTATTATTTTGCACAGTATTCTTCCTTAATGATCCTTTGTGGTTTGTTAACTTTATCACAAACAATAATTCAGTTCATGAGCTGGTGATTCTTGATCGGTTTCATAAACAGGCATTTGTAGATCTATGTTCTTTTAGACACCAACATTGATTTTTTATTAGGCAGTGTTCAATTTTCTTGAGTAAACACCGTAATAAGAATGTTTTCACTGTTCTTGGATTCATATATGTCCACTTGGCATTAGGTAGATAAATATGTATGCAGAAACAAAAAAAAAAAAAAAAAAGGACTACACACGTTTCAACTCAAGTTTTTGACATTAAAAAAATCCAGCACCTCATATTTTGGTTAGGTTTTGACACTCTTGTCTGCGACCTTGCCAGCATGGATATGGAAATTCTATTTTGCCTCAAATGATAATATCATCTTATAGTTGCTGCTACGGTTGCTACAGAAGCCCTACTAATGAAATTACAATCACTTGTGGACTGCATAATGCTTTTGTAACACTATCTTCATCCCTTCTTGTTTTGTTGATGCTTTATTTGTAAATTTATTGTAATGTCAAGTTGTCAACAACATTCAAACCATGTTTATTTTCAATGCATTTGAACCACTGTTAAAAATTATTTGATGTTTCCCATTTCTCTAGGTGTGTGAATGTCTTGCTGACTAATCCTATATGGGTAGTTGTTACCCGCATGCAGGTGAGAACCTGGTTGCCTTTCTCTCAGTCTTCGCCAATCTAAAAAATGAATGTGGTGCTATCATTTACTGGCGTATTTTATTGGTGTTTCAATATCATCATACACTAACATAATTATACTCCCTATTTTTTCTCTACTGATTAGTAAGAGTGAATGATGCTATTTATTAGTATTATTATTATCATTTTATTTGTACTATTTTCCCCCCTCTCCCTCCGTTTCCCCTTAAATGGGAAGAAGAGAGTGCAGTACTAGATAGAGAGAGAGCAAAGGGTTCTATTTAATTGTTCTTGGATTATCATGACATTGTAACATGAGTAGTATGAGCTACTAATTTCACTTATAAAAAGAGAAATTTATGCTCTCTCTACCTCTCTCTAGTTGTTTCTGCATTTTTTAGTTGGATGCATTCTTGATAACTATGTTCATTTTGCAGACTCACTCAAAAAAATCCCAACCTAGCCAGACTGAATCTATCACTTCAGATGATTCAATTCTGGCTGCTGTAGAACCTCCTCCCTATGGAACAGGCCACGCGGTATGTACAATCAGGGATGAACTAGCCAATAGTATTTTGCCATAAAGTTATTCAATAACTTGTCATTAATACCAAAATTTTAATTGGGTATAACCTATCAAAATAATTTTCCACGTAATATATTAGAATAGTATCTAATTCAAATAAAATAAAGAATATTAATTCAAACTTGTGCAATTACATATAAAATATTTATGATTATTTCATCTAATGATTTACAATTCCATTTTAATTTCATCCCATACTCACTCGAGTATAACTAACTTTCAATTCATTTCCATGTAGTTCTGCCCATGTGTACAGCTCAGGTGTTTCTTGAAGCTTAGTCAGCATAGCCTGCAGTAGCACTTCTGGGAATTTCAGTTTCTGTCAAACATTTATTTCAAAAAACTGAGATTCATCGTCTATGTATTTGGGAATTACTTGAGTAATTGTACTATGCCCAACATACTCTGTATGCCTAATAAAAAAATTCAGTGAAACCCAATTGAGAAAAAAAATAGCAAGATGGATTAAGTGGATGAATGCTGAATGCAGTTGTAACATCCTGTCCAGGAGTACTTGTATTATTGTTGTTATTTCTTGTTAGCTACTTATGCCTATGAAGTTGTTAGGGAATATTTTCAAAATTTGCTAGAAGAGTTACCATCTTTATGGGGCCATGGAATAGCACGTTTATAAAGAAATTGCGGCTGAAACAGGGATAATAACCTGGATGGGGAAGAGCATTATTAAAAATTAACACATGAGATTGTAGAAGTAGCAATAGTTCAAAACGAACAGGAGACTATATCATACAAAGTCATTTTGGATTGGTCTTGCCATGTTTAAATGGAGACCAATAACCAGATATCCTGGGGGAAAGTTTCTGTTTTGGAGATTGCGGAGAGGGGCAAAGAAATTTGCTAAAAAGTTTATTTCCTGATGTATATTTGAATGTATCTTACATTAATGGCATACTTGTTATCCTGCTGTTGACTTTCTAGTCAAACTTAGTCACTTAGCCTTCTGATTTATAAGATGCGGAGTATTGTGTCCCATAACTTTTAAGTTTTAATTAATTGCCATATATTATGTGCAGATTAATGAAGTTTATGATGAAGCTGGCATTTGGGGATTCTGGAGAGGTGTTTTGCCAACATTGATCATGGTATGTGTGAAGTGACTGTAATACATGCTTCATGGTGGTCATTTATTGTTCTCGCGGTTGTCTGCAGGTGAGCAATCCTTCCATACAGTTCATGCTGTATGAAACGCTGTTGAAGAAGCTAAGAAAACGGCGTGGCTTGAGTAAGAAGGGTAGCAATGATGTAACTGCTTTGGAGGTAATTCTTTCCCCTGTTTCCTATGTTTCAGTATCAGCTCCTTTCCCTTGATATTCTAATTTTGACCTCACTGTTCCATGATAGCATACTGATTCCTTTCCCCATTTCCCATTTTATCTGGTAAATGCTGAACCCATTGTATGATATATGGCTAGATATTTCTACTTGGAGCTTTGGCGAAACTTGGAGCTACAGTTGTAACATATCCTCTTCTGGTTGTGAAAGTAAGTGATATAAGTTAATAGTGACGAGCACTTTTTGAAAGCTTATGAGTCTGTTGAGTTGAAATCATCATTTCCAACGATTAGCACAAGAACCTGGAGAGTTGATTTTAGGTCTAGCTTTTCATGTTGACACACTTTAATCAAGGAAAAGGTCACGAGGTTTTGTAGATGTATTTTTAAATGCGAGGGTTGTACATTCTGTCCATCTTTATGTCTGTTGCTTAAAATCTCTTGTTTCGTTTTTCAAGAACTGATTGGGCACTGCAAGGTCCAAGTTCCATCCAGATAGACCAGTGCCTTTTAAACCAGCTACACTAAAGGTTTCCTGCAATGAGCCACTAGAAAAGCCTAGATCCTGGTCTTAACGAATGTTAAGTTTCAATTGCAGTTTGTATAGTTATTTAGTATAGAATCAGATTTTTTTCTTCTGAGTTTCCCAGCACTGGTTCTCCTTTTGCCCAGTATGGCTATGTGTATTGTAGGGGAAATAATTGGTTGTGAGGTTCAGGATTGAACATGTCTATAGTGTTTCTACCGGATATGAGCCAATGGGTGGAGGAAAGAAAAAGAATGGAGCTAAATAAAGTAAGATTGGATTTTAAAATCATGAAATTAAAGGAATGACTCTGCTGCTATCCTAAAACATATAAGCATTCAACCCTTAGAGAGACTAGCCTAACAACTCTAATCTAAATCACCAGGAAGATGATATTAAAATATATTTTGACTCTTTAGTTCTTAGATTTGTTTTTAAGTTCCTCAATTATTTGGTTGCCTTTGCAGTCAAGGCTTCAAGCAAAGCAAGTTGCTGGTGGGGACAAGAGGCATCACTATAGAGGTTTGTGTCGTCGCACTTTTTTAATAACAAAATCAGAAGATATACAGTAGGTCACAAAAATGGTATGTGGCAGAGCATTTAAAGTGATAAAGAGAACTTAATTAGCATTGGGTATGAATTTCTATACGTAAAATTTGACGAATATTTAGGTAGCGTTTGGGATTACTTAAAAAAATGCTTTTAATATTTATGACTTATTAGAAGTACTTCAAATAGAAGAGTGGTTTTTCGACAACTTATTTAAATCACTTTTGAATAAGTCAAAAGTGGTTTGGCCACTTAATTAAATCCATAACTAGAAGCAAAAAAAAAAAAAAAAACAAAACTCTGCTTCCTTTAGAACACCTTTTACACAAAACACTTTTTATTTTCACCGTTATTACCACCCATCACCCACTGCTACCTCCATGACCACTACCATCCTCTTGCATCGCCACCCACCATCATTACCCCTACCACCACGGCCATGGCTGGCCCACCACCCTATAGCCACAACCACCATGACAATGATTGCTCTGGTCACCACCACCATCACCAATATACATTGGCATTTGATGATGTATTAGTAATTCTGACAGGTAAGGGTTTTTTTTGTTCATCATCCAAGCAATCCTTGAAATGGTTTTTATTTAATTGTATTCTTTTTTTAGGACATTCAGAACACTTGTGTAAGAATTACATTTTAAATTGCGTAAGTTATGCCAAACATCACTTTAATCATGGGTTTGACATACAAAAATGATCAGGTGGTGAGACTTATTAAGTTTTCACATTAATAACTACAATGAATGTCACTGCTAGCTTGTGAATTTATCCAAGTTTCTTTGAGTATAATTTGCATGAGCTAAAAAATTGATTGATCCGAATCTTGATTTACTCAGGATGATTTCCATGTCTTTTCTCCACCCACCACCAAAAATCCATGACCTTGTATAAGGTTGCTTTTACTGTGATGCATTGCAGGTACCTCGGATGCTATCACGAAGATGATGCGCCATGAGGGTTTTTCTGGCTTTTACCAAGGAATGAACACAAAAATCGTGCAAAGTGTTCTTGCAGCTGCTGTTTTATTCATGGTTAAGGAAGAACTCGTCCGGGGGGTTCGATGGTTGTTGACGAAGGATGCTGTTAGGGCAGTGAGTTCATAGCTCCCCATGACTCGAGTTCTTTCTGTAGCTATATCTTAGCAGAGACTGCTGTGTGGTCAGTTGTTACCATGAAGGAGCACGTAAGCAGGATTTGTAGCTTGTATTAATTGAAATGAAATTGAAATTTGTGAGAGAATATGATTTCTACACCTGCTATATTGTTGAACTATATTACATTGGGATCTAATGATGCAACTATATGAAGCAATAGTGAATTTTTTTTTTTAGTTTAACGGTCATGAACTAGTTTACATGCACTAAACTAATTTCTTTCCTGGTTAAAGGCAAATCATATACTCTTGGGTTAGGATAATGTGGGATTTTATTTTTTGATCATGGATCATTGATCATGCAACAGGAATTTTGTGGTCTGCCTGGTTTGGTTGGGCTAATAAAATGAAGTATCTAGACTCCGTTTAGAAAAAGGAAAAATTATAAGGTACACTAAATTAGATTTAATTGTAAAAAAGTACATAAAAAAAAATATTGTGTAATTAAGTCCTTAATTTTGATATTTATTTGTATTTAAGTACATTATTTAAATTTTATTGATTTTTTTGTGATATTTTTATTCTCTATTAATTTATGTGTATTTAATGCACTATTTTTCGTTGAAAAATGATGTATTAAACATCTCCTAGTTTTATGAGAGAACATTAATGCATAGATATATACTTGTGTGAATTTTAAAATTTGTATTCATTTATATATAAAAACGTATATATATATATATATAAATTATATTTTAATGCACATTGATTCATACGTTATATATATATATACACTTATATAAATATTTATGTATGTATGTATGTATATTAAATTAATTTAAAAATAAAATAATTTTTCCAAAAAAAAAACGCTTGAATTAAGGTGCATTAAATATAATTTGAAAACAAAATCACTTTTAAAAAAAATACGTATAAATCAAGGTGCATCAAAGATAATTCAAAATTTAAATAAAAAATTTAACAACAATATATATATATATATATATAAACATGAATTAAGGTGCATTAATTATGTATTTATATGTATTAACAAACACACATGAATCAATGTGCATTAAATATAAGAGATTTTGAATTAAATGACCCTAAAATGGACATTTATGTCTTTGTAATTTAGCTATGTACTTTTTTTCAAAATATTTTGTTCTATGTACTTTTTACCAAATAAGTTTCAAGAGGTGTATCGACTTCCAAAGAACCCTTAAAAAAATCTAATAAGCCATGGGAGAAAATAAATGGACTTTTTCTAAGGCTGAATTGGGTAAAACAATAATTATTATTGAATTAATTAACAATATTGTCAGATCTCTACGAACGTGTGTGTATAAGTCAGAGTGGATGAGCGTATTCGTGAAGAAAATGGCGCTTGGAAGCACGGAATTAAGGTCTTGAAAATCGAATTCCTTATAACCTATTTGGTTTGGTGGAAAAGTGGGTGGATAGAAAATAGGATTGAAAATGACATTTTCTTTTGTTTGGTGTGTTGTATGAAAAGAAAATTGAGGGGAAAGAAAAATTAGTGAAAAATGGCCCACCATTTTTAATCACTCCATAAATAGGAGGAAAGAGCAAAGAAAGAAGTGTGTGACTCACCTATTTTGTCATTTTTGATGTACAAGTGTTCCTAATTAGTGGGTCCCACATAGGGGTGTCAATTTTTCACTCGAACACGAATTTGATACAAATCCAAAAATAACACAATTAGTTGACATGAATAATAAATGAGTCAAATTAAGGTTCGACAAGAATAACACGATTAATGAGTACAGTAGATAGAAAAATATTATTTAATGAATATTATAGATAGAAAATAAGAATTTTATAATTTTTTAAATAGTATTATATTAGTTGCTGTCAAATTAGATAATTTTTTATTAATACGAATATTGATATGTACTGAAAGTGAAACGACACGAAAATAACATGACCGAAAGTGACACGAAACTGATACGACACGACACGATTGACACCATTAGTCCCACATCATATTATTAACTTCTTGACTTTTTTATTCATTTTTTTGAACAAATGGACATTTTTGCCCTTAAGATATATTTATATACAAGGGTATAATGATAAATTAAATACATGTATCTTTTCTTTCCTTCCACTTTTCCTCTAATACCAAACAATAAAAAATTAATTTTTCAAACTTTTCATCTATCCTAATTCATACTAAACACAAATGAGGGATATTGTTTTTCTTTCCTCCAAAGATGAAATATTTATTCTTCGCACTTTTTTATCTTTCTAAATTTTCATCTCTCCTATCAAACGGAGCATTAGAGTTGGTGTAAATTTAGAACAACAATTCCAAGGCAATCAATTTCTTGCTGAAAAAAAAAATTGTGGAATTGGAAATAAATTGAGTCAAAATTTAGTGAATTTTTTTATTTTCAAATTCTAATATTTTTTTTTTGAACAGTTTCAAATTCTAATTCAAGGCCCCCAGTTGTAAGCGGCCAAGCCTGGCCTAAAATGAATTTTAAGTTGGTTTCAAAGTCAGATTATTGACTCGAGATTTCATGATTGAATTTAGAGAATTCTAGCTTACACAACAATCATGATTGCGTGAATTTAGAAAAAAAAAATTGGGTGCTCCAAATGGATATTCAGAAAAATTATTTCACCTATTATTTATTGACATTTTCCTTCAACGTTACACAGTTGGAAGGAAATTTTATCACACAGACGTCGAGGTTGAAGGTAAAGTCTAACCGCGTGTTATAAGCGCTGAAGAAGAGATTTAAATCTACGAATTATCGTAAATATAGAGATTCGAACTCAGACATTGAACAAAAAACTCAATTCAAAATTTGAGTTGTAGCTACAAACTCAAAATATTGGGTTGTTATGACAGTTTTTCGTTAAAAGAACAAAAAAAGGTTTGTGACAAGAACAAAATGGGAAAAAAGCAGGGCTAGGATGGAAAACTATAATTTTTTTTTGTTTAATGGTCAAGAATGTTTCAGTCAGTTTTTACGTACTTTGACTAATTTCTCTCGGTTCTAGTAAAAAGAAAATCATGTCTACTAAGACTATGGTATTTATGGTATTTATAATTTGACCTGTTCCGAAAAAATTATTAAAATTTGTACTCAAGGTATTTATTACTTGACTCACCTTTTAGGTTAAGACTATAATTTGCTATGGCAGCTCGGTCTCACCGAAGCCATAGCGAAGGCTCACGTTCAGGTCCAAACCCGGACGGATGGCCCGTTGAAAAGCCTAGCCCACCAACTCGCCGCTTATTTTAGCACGCTCGAGGCTCGACTCACAAAACTCGTTAAGTGCTTCAATTTCAATTTCATTTTCAGACAAACCCTAGTTAGCAGAAGTAGAAGGTCTGAAATGCCGGAGAAGAAAGGGGAGATGTCTACCAATAATAGCAAAAACCAGAAGAAAACAAATCTTTTGGATCATCACTCCATTAAACACATCCTCGATGAATCTGTCACTGAGGTAATACATATATATATGTGTTTTTTTAACTCTATGAACAGTTTAATTCTTCTATCTTTAATTTCTCATTTGTGTTTTTCGGGAGAGGTTTTTATGATTGATCTGTGGATTTTGGCTTATAGATCGTTAAGAGCCGTGGATATCCTGAAGATGTGAGGATGAGTAATGTTAGATTGTTAATTGGAACTATCATCATCGTCATCGCTCTTTTTGCTCAGTTCTACAACAAGAAGTTTCCGGAAAACATGAATTTTCTGATCGGATGCATCGTATTATATCCTTTTTTTTTTCGTGGCTAATTTCGTTATTTTTTGATTTATTTTTCTGTAATCCTATTTTTTTGTTGCTGTGAACTGGTAGATAAGATTGAAAAGTTCACACAAAATGAAATGTGATTTGTTCTTATGTTTTGCAATCGGAGGTGGATTTTGTTTATTTTTTGCCTTTTTAAGCCTAACTTCACTTGAATTGCAATTTATACTATTGTTTTTTTGTCTATGGTTGTGAAGAGAAATAAGGGAAATAGAAACAAATAGAGTTATGTTTATGTAATAGGAAAAAAAGATTTGAAATCATAAATCCGGGAAGCCAGGTGGTTGAATTGGGCTTTATTTGGGGGAGTTTTTTATTTTCTAGATGGTCTAAATTAAAAATTTTAGATTTAAAGTTTCTTTCCTTTTGTTCACGTGTCATTAATCAAGTCTATTTCACTTTTGTACTCGTGTTACTGTTTTTACATGTGCTATATTGTTTATCTTTGACAATGGCAAGTATATTATATTCAACGGAATATTGCAGCTGATCATGTACACAAAGGAAAAGAACGCGATTTTGTTTACCCATCCTCCTGCAGTGAGTTACTCTGTTCTTTCAATAGAGTACTGCATTCACATATTCATCTCTTGGTCTCTAGTTATTTCGATGTTGAACTTCTATGGTCTACTGTTTGTTTGGATGAGGATAATTTTTGAATTATCTGAAAAACGTAAAACACAGGTTAGACATATTCAGGGTTGATTGGGTAAGTAATGTCGTCTTTGTTGGCGCAAGTTTTCAATGACTATTACTATGAAAGCTTTTGAAACTGCAAGCTCTCGATTCAAAAGTAATTTCTTGAATAAGATGACTGTGTAGCTTCTTCTCAAGAAGTAGCACCGGCAACTAAAACAGTCTTCTATCCAACACCGGTTACTTCTTTAAGACAAGAGGTCCTAATGGAACAATTACCTATTCTATCTGATTCACTGTCAATACCCAGAAAATAGGGTATTCAGATTCAATTGCAACAAGAGCACGTTCGAGAGTAGGGGATATTGCAGAAAGACCTTCTACTTCGTGAAATTTTACTAGGTTGTGGTACTCCCACATCACTCTTGTGTTGCTATAGACTTGCACTGAAATGCTAGTGAAATATAAAAATAGCATGTTCCTACAAATTTCCAGCTTGTTGCTTCTCTACGCATGATTAAGAACTGAGGTCCAAAAATGTGATGTCGAATGGGATGTCTAATGGTTACTATGTTCCCTTTTTACATTTGTAGAAACATCAATTGGGACCACCATTTGGTTTCCATAAAGATCTAATACACTGTTATTTTGATGAATTTGGCACACCATCATCTCTTTGACTTGTGACATTAGCAATTTTGTTGCCTTTTTCTACTGTTTAAGTTACCATTTCTTGAAAATCAAGTATTTTTGTGTTTCACCTATGAAATGATGTCATGGCAATGCATTCTTCGTGCATCATGGTTTCCTATGGGTGTTTGGCATCTGGTCCATACATTCTCAGCCAGAATTGTGTTCATCAGTGCATTAATCCTCATTTTCATCTTATTTTTATCAGTTCCTATATATTTTGTTTTAGAAGAGTCTTTTGTGATGCAATCAGTTACAGTGGCCCAATAGGAACTTCTAAAACTACTGTTGGTTCCACGTGAACTCTTTGTTTGAAGCATTGGCCAATATCTATACAACTCGGCCAAGTCGGATTCTAAACATCTGATGTTCTAATATCACTTTTCATGCTGTGTAAACCATGAGTCTCATGCAAATCAACCGAATTGTTTGAAACTTCCCCAAGGCAATCCCAAGTCGGATGAGTCATTGCCACCAAATTGCCTGCTACTGTTCTTTGATGCTGTATATGGCTTAAGTCTCACATCATGTTTTACTTTTTCTTATATCTTGCATGTAACAATGTCCTTCAAATTGATGGTCGATACTGTGGTCATGAACTATGCTTGGGCTGGCTTGTCCAATGTGTGCCACTAGATCAGTTAATTTTTTTTTTGATGTTCCTTTTTGTGTTTTTGGTTATTGGAAGAAGGTACAAGCTGATTTACCAATGTATACAGTGTATGGTAAGACTCGAGATGTCAAGGTCACGTAAAATCTCGTGAAATGGAATATGCAGTAATTGATAGCAAAATCTTGTAACCTGTTAATGTAAAATCCCCAGGGACTTGTTGCCTACACCAACAAGTCTCTTGTCGACATCCGGGATATCACTTGCATGAGTTTTGGGTGAGCTTACATGGTTATTGTTGCCTCAATCATGTCTTTCTAATGGAGGAACACAAGGAAAAGATAGTCTTCGTAATGCATAAGGGTTGGATGCCACAGACTTCGCAATTGATGAACTTGGTCTGAATTGTTTTCTTATCTCTGTTATATATAATTCGTGAATGCTATTTTGTAAATAATAGTTGTAACTTTCATGTATATAGAAATGGCTTGTAGTAACTTATGTGTTTTTTTTGATTGGTTAGTAACTTAAGTTTCAGATTTATTAATTTTGTTTATAAAATTGGTTTTGTTCCCCATTGATCAACCATCGATTGTTTGTGCAGGGATCCTTCAACACCACTGGCTTGATGGTCTCTTCAAAGTTACCAAGATTTTCTGACATGTACACCCTTACCATAGCAAGTGCAGATCCCCAATCAATATCTGCTAAGCCGCCTGTGGAATTTACCAAAAGTGTTACTCAGTGGTCTCTCTCTCTCTCTCTCATGTATAATGCTTGTCCAAGTTTCAAAACGCATTAAATTACTGCTCCTTGTTTCTGATCTCATCTGTGGTGACAGGTTCACGAAAGATGGAGTTTTGGTGGAGGGTCTGTTCTGGAAAGATGTGGAAGGACTAATAAATGACTATGGGAGAGAGACTAAAAAGGGCAAGTGAATTTAAGCATCAGACTGATTTTGATAGGATATAAGTGGAATTTTCAGTAATATCTGACTAAATAGTAGCAGATCTTCATTAAGATTTGGTTCTTGATTCACTGAAATTTGAACAAGAACTATGGAATCCATAATGCAACAAGCTGAGACAAGATTTTTTTCCCCCTTATCTTGTGGTTAAATGTTGGCAGTCAATGTAGTTTCAAAACCATCTTGTTTCTGATATTGATTTTCTATTTTTGGCTGAATGCTCATTGTTGATTATCAGGTTTTTAATACCTTGATACTAGTTAGCAGTTCGGATTTGTAATTTATCCATGGAAGGGACACAGGGACACGTTCCATTCAAAGAACGAAATCTAGTAATGGTCTTAAAGGAACAGAGGATGATCCTTGTAGGTAAAGATCCTTAGCAGGTGGGCTGAGCTTGGGAGGGTGAAGTTCGACTCGATACAATCTCATTATGGGCATTGTGGTGCTAGGGCTTGGCCACATGGTTCGCCGGAATTCTAATGCCTCGGTAAGCATGGAGTGATGTAGGCAAGTTCTCTTACAATTTTTTTCGTTTTTCATCCTCCCTAGTTTGGTCTAACTCTTTGAAATCAAATTAAGAGATCCTAGAATTTCTTTGCACTGGTTCAGGAGATCTGGACTGTATTGCCAAACTATGGTTTGTATCAGACTTGAAGAAAAAGAAAGGGGTGGGGGGTGGGGTTTGGTGTTCCTGATATATTTAGTGAAGAAAGGGTCAGTTGTGTGTATGGAATGGTTATCCACTTCCTCCATTTATTTCTGTCACTCTTTTAATTTTTCTGATCTCTTGCTCAACTATTTGATAATTAGACAATTTGTTGCTAAGATTCTTGTCACCCTGGAGTTAGGTGTACATATTTTTATCTTTGACGTTTTTGTAACTTGAATTTGTGATACATATTACTCAATAAGAATCTTCCTGGTAGATCAGTATACCGTCCTCTCAATTTATGAATAACATATATACAATTCAAAACCTAAGATTATTGAATTGATTCTCAATCTATACTATATACTAAAACAATTAATTTTAGAGTGAGTGTTTGAAAAAAAAACTCTCTTTAAATCCATTGTTTTTCTAATTTTAAATTATTTAATCCTTTAATTGAATATTAACATGTGGTATGTGTAACTAGTTACAATATTTTGGTAACTTCTTCACATTTTTATTAATCATTTTATATTTTATTTTTTATAAAATTTTAATTTAGCACATTGAGAAATAATTTTTTAATAAAAGTAGGGTAGGGTAGGGTAGGGTAAAGGTATGGGTGGCGATTGGGGTGAGAGTGAGGAGGAGAAGACGAAGAGATATTACAAGAATCTGCGTTGACAAAGGAAAGCGACCTGAATCGGCATCAAATTAAGTGTCTTACCTAACCCAAACTTCTACACTTAGCCTCCCCTCCAATAGTAACCATAAGATTGGGCACCTTAAAAGAAAAAATAGTAGATATGACAGTGACATTGCATGATATTAATAATGTGGGGTTTATTAGGCAGTGATAAAATATCAAATGAGCTCTATTGTTTTATTAATTATCTCTGTCATATTGAAATAATGAGGTTCATTAACTTTATTTATTATTTTATATTGATTGATTACACCATGTATCACCGTTACTCCTAATATTTTCTCGCCTAAAACATTCTGCTACTGTATGATGTGGCGTCCCATAAAAATTTAGTTTTTTGTGGTAACAGTGACTAGGTTAAATTAAACGTGTCGGGTTAAATATTTACGTGATGGGTGAAAAACATGTAAACTTATACGTGATACGTTTAATAGACGGATAACACGATCCATTTAATAAACAAGTAATATGACACGACTTGTTTAACTAGTTTAATTTTAAAAAAATTTATATCAACAAATTTTAATATACCACTTTTTTACGGCCAATTGTATTTACCTTAAAAAAAAGAATTTTTACCCAAATTTCACATAAAAATCAGATTTGAAGGGTAAAAAAAAAAAGCAACAGACTACTAGTTTTTATAAGCAAGACAACCTTCTCCATTTCTTCTCATTTTTCAGGTGTGGGACAAAAATAAAAAATGTTGGTTTGTCTTTATCATGAGCTGCCCTCATCTCTCCTTCCTTTGTCAAAAACTACTACTTTATTTATTTATTTATTTTTATATTGATTTTTTTACCTTTTTTTTGGCTAATTTTTTTAAATAATTATTAATTTATTTAAACGGATAAACGTGTGATACACGGTTTGATAGGTCTTATCCGAACACGACTCATTTATTAAACGTGTCTGACGAGTCAACTCGTTTATCAATCAAATCCGTTAAGATTTCATTCAAACTCATTTAATTTGTATCGGTTAATCGTGTCGTGTTAAATTTTGACAGGCCTGACAGAATACAACATTATTACTGTTATATAGTGTTATCATTTAATTATAAAATGAATCACACTATTTTTATAACTATATGTAATCATCATATTCAATCATCAACACATTATATTATTAGAATTTATTTTATCTATTTATTATTTTAATTCGATAACAACATTGCATTGAATATTAGCTTACGTGGGTTATGGACTCGTGCGAAACGCGATACAACAACGCCCGGACCCCAAAAAGGACTCTGAACTCGATTTTATAATCATATTTGAAGTCCACAGGGTACGCCTCTCCCCTATATAAACTCGTTGTCCCCAGTCTTTCTATTTTCAGCGAAGGCTCTGTCTGGGTCTGTTGTCGAGAGGTTATTCTCTCTCTGCATACATTTTATAGCCGAATTCTTTTAATTCGATCTTTGAAGATTCAAGACTGCGCTAGTGTTTTGGCATTGAGATTCCGAGTATTTGATCGCCATTTTCACGGAGAGAAATTTAAAGTTTCCGATTGATTGTCTGTTTTGACCACCACTAAAGAGATGGTTGATTCTAAGAAGCAACAAGCAATTAAAGAACACGAGATCGATAACATGGATAGCGCAGATCGATCAAACGGTGATGGATTCGATGTTTCATCAACTGTTGTAGCCTCTTCTAGTGATATTGAGACATCTGCGAGACAAATTAGGGGCTCTGGTGGTGAGTTTGGGCAAACGGAGAGGTTGACGGACATACTTGTTGATGACGGGGATGGTGATCTGTTTCTTCAACGGAACAATGGAGAGAATAGGGTTATGCAGTGGCTTCAGGCTCCGGATATGCAATTTATGGGTGCTTGTCGTGCAGATGAGAGGTTGAAGCCTTTGCTGAAACTGAATGTTTCAAGCGGTGCCACCGAAGATCGGTTACTAACTCATCTAAGCCAGGTACGTATCCGGATCAATGAGAAAATATGTCTGTCTATATGCGTGTGTGTGTGTGAGCGCGGGCCTAATATCGATGTTATAATATGAATTTGCTTAATTTCGAGTAATATACAACAATTAGTTGCTAATCAAGACATGCTTTAAAATTTGTGTGTTTTAAATTGGTTGTTAGCTCGTTTAACAAGCAAAGAAATGGTTATCATTTCTGTTGTACTCAGAAAGTGCTGACATATTATTATGTTTTTTTTTTTCGTTGTATTTCAACTGATGATAGCCTATCATTTTGTGGTCATTTGAGCAGCATTTTGAGTCATCAGAAGTTGCTGTGCTAGCCAGGTGCTTGTGTATTCCGCTTGTATCTGTTCGCGTTGGAAAGATCGACAAACAAGGGACTCTCCTGTGTCCGACGGCTACAAGGTTATTGCAAATATTTGGATACTAGCTTACACAATAGCGGTTGTATATGTGCAACATAATTTGTATTTCTCTGGTTTTGAAGTGTCTTGGTATTTCTGAGGTTACATAACTCATATAAGGTTGACTTATACGTGCTTTTGGTAATCTAATATGGATGGCTGCTTATATGTGTAAAGTAGAATCAGCCAGGCTACTTTGGCTTTAGTATTTTAATATTAAAGGGATAAACATGGATGAAAAGGCCTAGATGGTCCATCCTTCCCTCCCCTCCCCTCCCCGGCACACACTAAAAAACACTTACCTGCTTATACTGTCCAATGTCAAGGACAAACACTATTTTGACATGTAAAGGCAGGTTGTAGTTTTAATCCTTCTACAGTAAGCCTGATACTCATTTAAACACAAGTGCATCTATTGGTAATGGTACTGTATATGTGTTCACCTATGACGATGCCACACTGGAACCTGGAGGTTGCTGATGTTTTGTTAACTATTCAGATTAATTTTAATGATTTAGTGCTTAATTTAGCCTTTTAAGTTGTAATAGAAATGTTCCTAGCAGAGTGCTAGTGTAACCACTGAATATGTTGTCTTTAGCTACTCAAGTGAACTCTATTAGATAGATTATGTACCATCTTTGTAAATTATAAATTCATAACCTTCTATTTGAATCTTGGGGCTTTAGCATAATCTACTCTTGATGGTGCCTTCCTATTTTCATGCATACTTGCCTCTCTTTGAACCGACTTTGCTATATTAGTTACAAATGTTCCCACAAATGATTTTGGTTCTCTTGATATCTTTCAAGTGTATGTTTGGATTAAATTATCCTTCCAATGACCTGTAATACTAGGGATATATTCAATTTTTCCTGATCCCTGAATTTGTTTAGGGTGCATATTTTGAGTGTCTTGTACATGAATTGCAGACGTATTTGTACGGCCTAACCATCTCATGATCGGTACTGCATGCTGGATTCTATATGGTTGGTTCTTAGACCTCTGCTTCATGATATGAGATTCTTCTAGCTAGGAGGTGCATTTTGACATGGGGAGGGAGACACCACTAAGGTTGGTGTAATGGATATGTTTTTCCGTATTTGTTATGATCAGAAATGGTGTAGTCTTGAGTTCTGTCCAAGAACCTTGAGATTGCTTATTGGGTGACAGAAATCTTCTAACAGTGCAGTATTTTTTAGTGCATGACTTTTGTACTTTGACCTTTATTACCTTGTCCATTTTCAATTCTCTGAATAATATCTTTTATTGTGGATACGATTTATCTACTTTTGTTACTGCTTTAATGGTGTTTTACCTGTATTGCTTTTAATTTCTTTAGAAGATGATTTGATTCATTTAATACCTGTGCTGATTGGTTAAATTCCATTCAATTATAGTTTGGATGGGAATTTATTTGTAGTTGTTGAGGATAAGTTGCAATTATAGGGTTCTATATTTTAGCTTATTGATCATGACCATGTTCATCCTTCCAAATAAATGTCTTTTGGCTTGTAGGTCATGTGGCGTATTCTAATATGATCTCTGAATTAAGACAAAGTAAAAGGTAGTTTTATGCTCCTATATTATATGGCATAGTCTGTTTTGGATCTTAAATTCCTTTTATCATATGGATCTCAATTGTATTTTAATTTGAAGTTTTTGTGTAAGGTCTTAACTCTTCTTCTCTTTTATCTGCCTCAATAATAGTTGGTGTATTGTTCATACCCTTCTGCCATAATCTGGTGAATCATATGCCTACTTCTTCCCGTTCTGTATGATATTTGTTTGCTTCTAATTGGTATTTTAGGTTAACAGTACGTAGCTGAACTGTTATCTAAGTTAAAGGTGGTATAAAATGATTAAAAAGGTGCTCAATACAGTGAAATTGGTTTTTTTTTGGTACACATCTTGAAATCAGATAAATAAGGTGTAGTTGTACTATCATTTTAGAGGTGTGTAATTTGGTATGCAATCATGGATTTATGCTGTGTTATACAGCGATTCTTTCACTTGAAGAACCTAGACTACTATAGAACTCTACTCGGTGCTTACTAATATTTGATGGTAGTATGCACTAGCTGGTTTATAGTTCATTTATGCCTTATTATTATTGAACTAGTGATAAATTCATAGATTTCATATAACCGTTTATTCTTCATTTTTGCGAATTGTTGGGCCAAATGTCTGCACAACTGCAGGGCTGCTGGTAGCAGTCCAGCAAAGAATTGAGGAACTTACTTCTTAAGATAGAATTGAGGAACTTACTTCATAAGTTATTTAAATTGCCAAATAAACGATACACCTTACTTTTTTTAGAAGATAGACTAAGATACCTTTACACTACTTGTTGATTGGTATCACAGCACATATTAACCTAGGGGATGGAGGTTGCCCAATTGTTCTTGTCATATGCGTTATCATGGACGGTGCTAATCTGTGGCATCTTTTCCGTCTTTTTTTTTTGTGAAGGTTTGCTTTGGCATTTGTTTGTTACTTTATTTCGCTCTAACTATTTGTTCTTTTTCCCACATTGTAACAGCGGGAATTTGAATGTCATTCTCTTGCCAACTTCCAATCTGTGCATCTCATTTGTTGGAGATGATGGAAATGCTGAAGGACTAGCAACCTTGAGTACTGATTTGCAGTGTTCTGCTGTAGCAATTGACGCACTTCCAGCAGACAAGTCTGAACGATCTTTCCTGATAAAGGTCCCAGATGGGAAAATTTTTTATTTTTGGTGCTCAGAACAATCAAAGCTGCTTGGGATTGAGTTGCTTGAAAAGGTGCATTTTCTTTCTTAGAGTTAATAATGTATGTGCTCATGATGTGACTTGTGCTAATTAAAACTTCCTTCCTTTTCCACCTATTCTGTAGTTGAGGGATTTACTTAAGAGGAAGCCCTCCCTAGCTGAATTATCAGGAATTAGTGAGTCACGGCTGGACTGTTTTGCAATTCATCTCCAAACTTATCTTGTTGGGTCATCAGTGACTACTACTCAAGCAAGTACAGTTTTCTCAACAATCCCTTTCCCAACTTCCTCATTTGACTCTCCTGAACTTTGTCAGAATGCTCGATCCTTATCGGCATCATTGAAGCCTTCACGTTCTCGACACTACAGCATTCCAGCAACCAAGACAAATTCACTCTATCAGGGTGGTCTCAGCCTTAGGTCTAGTTCCTTTAAGGATGGCCGTGTTGTTAGAGAGGAGTTCAGACGGCATGGGGATGACCATCTTCCTTGTGTAGACAACCTTTCCACTTCTTCACCAAGTACTGCAGAGACATCTGGTTCAAGTCATCCTGAAAAAGACAAGCTTCCAGAAGCTACTGGAACCTGCCTGTTCTCTCCATCGAATTTTCTGGAATCACTTGGAAAATCTGCTGACCCACCTTTTCTGAGTCCTGCATCTCAAGTCGCTTCGATTGGTTCATCTCTTTTCTCTCCTGACTACTGTTGGTGTCCTCCTGTTGCATCACCTTTGCAATATACAGTAGATTGTTTACAACTGCCTATCTTGTCAACTGAAACCTTATCTTTACCACCACTTTCTTCTCTACTGTCGGCCCCTAGGTCCTCTTTTTTGCCAGTGAAGGCACCTGTTAATTTGGCTGAAGTTCCCTGTCTGGATTTCCCACCTTTCCTGCCTGAGCCACTGGTTAGGTTGCCATTGTCTATGACAAACTCTCAACAGATTCCTATCTTCATACCTCATATGTGTGATCCCATCGTTCATATTCCTTTTATTGATGTTTGCTCCTCAGGCCAGGGCTATCTCGTGAGTGCCGGACCTGCTATATCAACCACCATTCCACCATTGCTTCCAAACCTTGTGAATCCCTTGATTCCTGAAACTGATTCTATGATGGAGAAAGGAGCAAGAGAAACTCTGCGACTTCTAATCAGTGGTAGCTCTAGCCAGACCAACCCAGAGTTGATTAATGTTCTGCCTTCTGTCCTAAACAATATTGATGAGCAACGGAGTATGCTTGCTGCTGGCAGTAGGAGTGTGTATGCTGGAGCTGCAGATGATACTGCTATTGCAAATAGCATTGCAGCTATGGGTTGTGTAATGAAGAGATGCTTCAGTAAATGCAATTTGGTTTATGAATTGGAAAAACCTGGAGGCCCTGATGGAGCATGTTTGGACAATGACAAAGTTGAGGAAGGAAAGGATTGAATAGACGATTGTTCCCCTTGTAAGATGTAGTTTTTGTCTGAAAACTGTTGTTACGTGGTGAAATGTAATTAATTTCTTTTCATCCATCCATCCATCCATCGGCACTGTTCTTTGATTCCTTTTGTTCATAATTAGATTGTTGTTTTGGCTGTGTATGTTGCTGTGGTCATGTTTTGCTTTGTGGGTTTTCAAGCTTTGTGCAATGAGATGGTAATATTGGGATTCAGATCCCATCTAATATTAGAAAATCGAATATATATGTATATGAATCAATGTCGTACATCTCAAAAGGAAGATTTAAAGAAATGAAATTCACATGAAAAAAATTAGTTACTTTATTTCAAAAAACAAAAAGATTTTGAAGTATATTCATTATCAAATTAAAAAGATAATTTACTCATAGAAAATACTTTAAATATGAGGAACCCGTATATTTTTTTTGTTTATGGATGACCGTAACTAAATAAGAATCAAAATATTTCTTATAATTAATCACTATCGGTATAAAACTCATGATTGAGTGGTGTACCATTGGCAGACGGCTGAGGTAAAACACTTATCAAATGACTGATTGTGTTACATCAAGTGAAGTAAGAGAAGTGGTGCACAATGTTCCGGAGCTAGATAAAAAGACACAGAGGTAATATATTCATGATCCGTTGCTTTGCCATGGGTTTTCAGATTTTACTCGAAATCGTTCATTGAGGCCTCAATTTTACAATGTTGTATTTGTAGGAAAGTTTTGTATAATCCATCACTTGTAGTTATACTCATCCAAGTCTATTCTACCTTTATTTTATGTTTTTTAGACTTTTTTTTTTTTTTATTTTTGGTAATTTTTCAGTCTTTTATTAAGTTGGTGCTCAGCAACTGTTAGACTTTCTAATAGAGCTGTAAATCGTGAGGCAAAGACATCTTCTGACAGTTAATCTTCGTCTTGTTCTTTTTTTAATTGCTCTTTCTCCACTTTAACAATTTTTTGCTTCAATATCTTACCATGTTTTAAAGTAAAAAAGCAAAAATAGGAAAAAGGATGGAAAAAAATTTGACTTTTCTCTAAGTGACTTGACCACTTTTATTCTTCAAATGAGAAGTTGTGCTTTTGATCTTGTTCTCGTCTCCGGGTGTGGTCCTACTAGACGCAAGTGGCATTTTTCAGAAATGAAAATTTTTAATTTTTATGCCATTATGCTACACAAGCAATGGTATTGGGACAAAATTTGGGAATTAAAGTTGGGATACTTAAATGTACCGCTGATGTTGGATTGATGGCGGATCTGCAATGCATAAAATTCAATCTTTCAAGGTGCAAAGTGAGAAATTTAAAATCTTTTAAAATACAAAGTACGAAAAACTCATAGAAAATATAGTCTTGATAGAGTACAATGACAGATCGGGATGCATATAGTCGATCCTAAATAATTAATGAAAATGTACAAAAGTGGATTTATGTAAGATCAAATCAGTCAAGTGTGTAGTATAAAACAATTAATGAAACAATCAATAATAAAAGACAAAAATTAGATAGTTGGATCTGAGTGACCTAACTATTGAAGGAGGTAATGGTGGCCGAAGAACTCTATTAATAAAAGAGTGTAAGGTAGTAGGAGAGAGAGAGAGAGAAAGAAAGAGTGCAAGAGTATTCTTAAGGTAAGATGTGTGAGATCTCTGTCCTCATGTGTATGGAGATTACAATTTATAGGCATAGAGTTATAGTTGAGGCGGTGACTTGAGAATCAATGTACTAGTTTATCGTGGAGGATATCTATAATTGGGGATAGACACCATCTTGGAGTCATGACTATCCCAATAATTGCTCCCCCATGTGCATTGACTCTTCCTAGACTCTTGAGTTTTGAATTAGATTAAGGATATGAGCTAAATTTGGTCTACCTTTTAATGATTTTGGTTCAACTCATGAGCTGACCTAAATCTAGTCTGAATCTGAACTTGTCAATTAAGAAGATGTTCTGCTAACTTGACTCTGAGTTGAGGTTGAAAAAAGACACTCAAGACTTTTAGATCCTATAAATCCTTGATTTTCTGTGACCATTGGTGGTCAATGAATCAAATAAAATAACCTTTTTGCAATCGTAGTAAAAAAAATATTACCTTAATTGCATTTTTTCCTCAAAACCATCATCATTAAGATGAAAATGAAAACTTGTTAAAACTAGTTGATTGGATCATGCTAATTAATACTCTGATTTGGTCTGCCATTAGTTTCAAACCATTGAACCTAAGTGCTTACACATAAATGCTTTATATAGTGTCTAGTGTAATGTACAGCATTTTCCTCGTACCTTGGATTGTTAGAGGTTGCCGGTGACTTTTCTGCATCTTGAGGTGGGATGCATCATAGTCCTTCAGAGGCAGTAAAGCCAATGATTCCTTTGCAACAACAAAAAAACATGATAAAAAGTGATGGGACTTTTTTGAAATACCCTATGATGAAGACACGTGTTCTCGATTTTTCTAAAACGCTGTTATTAAGATCAAGTATCATCGGCGCACGAATGTCCTCGCCCCCGAGGTACCGTCATATAGGATCATACATTCAGTATATTTTACAACCGACACGTGGCCTCGGTCTGATATGTACCTCGGTCGGCATACCTCCCTCGGTCCTCGAGATGAGCCTTTCCTCGGTGCCGAGAGGTATCCCCGTCTTGGACACTTCCTCTACTCCAGGATAAGCTATTGACGTACAGGTCATTAGCCTAGGCTAGTCATCATGACCTCGTCTTACACAAGTAATGTCAGAACGTACTGGAATACAGAGGTCACAGCCAATAGGGGATGGAAGCGTGGCATATGATATCACATCAAAGACAGACAAACCGCATGCCGTTGCTGACACGCGACTTGGAAAAGCAAACAATTAATTGCACCATTCCCTTGATGAGACCGCATTCAATGCGGTAAGGCTCGGAAATAAAAGACAATAAATGCTCCTATTATAGAGCATTTATTGCATCCTCCCCGAGAGGAGCACATTGTACCGTCGACATCCCGACGACCCAGCATTGATTGCTCGGGACCCCGAGCAGTTAATTAGAGAAGACATTCCTCATCAGAATCAATGCACACGCTACCTGTGCCTAATGATCACCTACTGACCACACTGACAGCAATCATGAGTTTTTAAGGTATAAATACTCCTTGCAAAAGGCAAAGCGGGGATGCAACAAAAAACTCTCTACGACAATACATTCTCAGTGTTTTCTCCTTCCTCTCTCTTTCTCAAAGATTGACTAGATCGTCGGAGGGAATACGCCGGAAAACACTCCGGCGCCCTTCTAACTTGTTCTTTTTTGTTCCAGGAACCTCTTTCAGCCTTACTGGATCGTTCTTCCGTTCCCAGGATCTCCCGTTGCCGTTCCAGGTTACCACCGTACCTTGTAGGCTGCTCCAAGCAACGTGTTTGGTCACTCAACGGGCCCACTCGAAGTTCACCAAGGGAGAGACATGTTCTCGTTTTTTATATTGTGCAGGATCTTGCACGCACAATCTGGCGCTGTATGTGGGAAACGACTAATTTTCCTAGTCTTTTCTCTCTAAAAAACAGTGACCATGGTGAACACTCGACAGAAAGAGAAAGGACCCCACCAAAGGAGTCTCGAGTTACAAGCTCCCTGTCATCACGAAGGGAGGGAAACCGCCAATACGAATAAAAGTGCCTATACTCGGTCAAGAGGGGTTACCCCTCAAACCAGTATGGGAATCAGGTCAGGGGGATCAGCCCCCTTGGCCCGTCAGCTGGCGGAGGTGATTGAAGAAAAATTTGGCGATAGATTACGTCAGCTGGAAAAGGATAATGTAAACGTCCTAAGCCGGCTCGACGAGTTCGCCGCCTCTGGTGGAGGGTCGAGGGATTCATTCCTTTCCCGTGGGCTTTACACCCGGGAGGAGGAAATGAAGGACCTAAGAAACCATCTAAACAACAAAGCAGAGAGCTCTAGGGCCCCAAAGTGACCTAGAGCCGGCGAGCATCATCATGACAACCTTTCAAGGAAAGCAAGGCCATTGGCCCTGGACGACCTCCGACGAGGTTTGTCTAGACGGAGGAAGGGGGATGAATCCGAGGAGGACTCGACCCAATCCACTCGACGCCCGGGATATGAGGGGCTTACCGATGAACCCAAGGACTTCAGAAGGCATCCCGTCAGGGAAGAAGTTGATCTCAGAACCCGATTGGATTCCAAGAGGAAGGGTAAGGCTGTCCAGGATGAGACCGAGGACGAGGCCATACAAACACCCTTTACGAGGGAGATCAGTGAGATGGAGGTCTCAAAAAAGTTTGTCGTGCCGCGGTTCAAAACTTATGACGGGCGGTCCGACCCCGAAGCCCATATCAGGCAGTACAAGCAGATGATGTCCCTCTATCATTCGGACCAACGGTTTCTCTGTCGAGTGTTCCCTATGAGCTTGGGGGACTCTGCGATGAAATGGTTCGAGACGCTTCCCCCAAATAGTATTGAGTCCTAGAAAGAATTGACCAGGCAGTTCCTGGCTCGATTCATTACGGGGAGTAAGCGCCCCAAAGACATTGGATCATTGTTGACCCTCAGACGGAGGGAATCCGAGACTCTTCGCCAGTACGCCATCCGATACTGGGAAGAGGTCAATGAGGTAGAAGGCTGCTCGGAGGTCATGGCAGCGGCATCTTTCCTGCTCGGCCTGGCGAGGGACACGGATCCGTTTCAAAAAAATTTGACTTTTCTATTTTTTTCCTACTAAAAAAAGTTAATTATTTAAAAATTTTCCAAAAATATAAGTCAATCATACAGATGGCAAAAGTTTAGCTGGAATATGTGATTCACATTAGGTAATGTTGTTGTCCTATTTATTATTACTTTTGGAATGATAGTGGATCTCATTCTTTTTCTTTTTTTTTGTTTTGTTACGGGGCAAGTGTAATCAACTGTATCTCTCTTTCGGCTCTAAGTGACTTGACCACTTTTATGCTTCAAATGAGAAGTTGTGCTTTTGATCTTGTTCTCGTCTCCGGGTGTGGTCCTACTAGACGCAAGTGGCATTTTTCAGAAATGAAAATTTTTAATTTTTATGCCATTATGCTACACAAGCAATGGTATTGGGACAAAATTTGGGAATTAAAGTTGGGATACTTAAATGTACCGCTGAT